TGTTGTAACTTGGATAGCTACTTGGAATCTCTTAATACCTCATGTCCCATTCTACACAATTAATTAGGAGATAGAATAAAAGCATTGAGCAAGTTACTAGGCTAATTAACTTGGATGCTCCATGAGATCGTGATCCTAAACTTCCAAACCAAAATCCCAAATCCCATGACGATTTTGGTTATATGAAAGCAGCCTCAGTAGCTTCTTGGGGTTTTATTTGCTTTTTTCAATTTTTAAAAATATGGCTATCACACAACTTTTGCCCATTCAACATTTTACTGTTGTACAGCTTATTGACAACAATTACAATAGTCAGCTGTGCAATCCTACCCTTAATCATTGCCTTATTTCCATCACATTAACTCCCTTTACCCCTGGTTATCTTTATGTCTTACAGAGAAGCATTTGAGATCCCATTCTTCATTTATTCTCTAAGGAATAGGTTGTAGGATAAGTTTTGAAGAATTAGAGACCTCAGTATTATTCTCTGGTGGTTGTTGTGTGTGCTGTTGAGTTGGAATCGGCTCACAGCTGACTCTCCATTGGGTTTTTAGGGGTGGTAAATTGCACAGGAGGAGACTGCCCATCCTTTTCCCAGGGAGCAGCTGGTGGTTTAAAACCGTGTACCTTTAGGATTGCAGCACAGTTTCTTAAAACTAGGCCACCAGAGTTCATTCTCTGGTAGACGTAGACCTCTGCAGCTAACAGGAAAAGACTATGAGTCCCAACAAACTACATGAGAAATTATGGCTAATGAGGTCTATGAACTGTCAACAATTGGGATGTGACTAAGAGAATACACTAACTGGCTGCCTACAAGAACAACCAGGCAGCCTGGAGACCCTAGAGTTATGATACTCCATAATCCTGCATAGTGACTTCTTCTAACAAATGTCTAACAGAACATAAAGAAGGGGTCTAGGAAAGGACGTATGAAGAATAATCTAGTTTTCCTCCCAGTTTTAGAGATATACTTCTTAAAAGTGCTCAAGGATATTTAAACAGACCCCGTGTACCAAACGTTTAATGTGTTTTCTCCGGAGGATAAAAATGACTGGTGGCTGTCATTTTTATGTTCTGTATTTTTTGTTATTATTTTTTAAGATCTTTTCACAGTCATTATGTAGTGGGTATGGAAGTATAAACAAGATACTTTTTCACTCTTCTACTAAAGTGTCATCATTGGCTCACAGGATGAACTTCAAAGAGCTATTTGCTATTAGTTTCTTGATTTGAAAAATAGACTTAAATCTGGCTGATCTCCAAAAATTTCTTCCTAATGGAAGAGAAACGAGAAAGCTTACAAAATAAATTACTGTCTTAATAGACCCGAAATACATAAAAAGTGAAAGCATATTTGGCTCTTTGAAAATCTGCTATTTCAAACAGGATATTATCTAAACGCCTACCTCTTGGAGGCAGTGGGCATGGGTGGTGGTGGCAAGAGACCAAAAATAACCTAAAAGTATTCTGGTTTGAAAAACTGAAAAAACAAGATAGATATATACCATTATTTGTTAACATATGTCTATTGAAAAGTGGTTGATGCATCAATGAATTTCACTGACTGGTCAATATTAAGAAATATAGTCATAAAGCCGGAGTGGCATCCACTTCCTAAACAACTTGCCTCCAGAAACTCTATGAACTTTGTTAACTGATGATAGTTGCAGAGGGGCTTCAGGCCTATCATTCATAGGGTCGCAACAACAATAAAGAAATGTTAGTGAAATAGAAAACCAGAATTTTCAGGGCCTGTGGGGAGGTAGTTTTAGTCTCCTCTTTCATTGTCTTATTCAATAAACATTTTACCTACAGCATACAGTGTACCTAATAGTAGTAACACAGGCCAATACTACAAGGGCTTAATCTCTCCAAAGTGTTTACAAAATAATATTTTTCTCTATGGATATGGACATTTCAATAGTGGATGCTGATTAATGTTGATGTGGACTAGTAGGAAAATTAAAGGCTATGATTTACTCTAACTAGACGTAACTTAGAGCAGTGATTGTGAGGATGGCCAGGATAGGGCATCAAGCCTCTCAAATGTTTTTTATAGGTTTGTTATTAGTTGTAGTCAATGTAATACAACAGTAGACATAGTTTAGGGAGCTCTGTTGTGTATTCTGTAGAGAGTGATGGCACTGCTAAGCCAAAGGCCAAAGGTCACACCTCTCTGCTGGTTCAAATCCACCAGCAACTCTGATAGAGAAAGATGGGCAATCTTCTGTGAGACTAACAGCCTCAGAAACCTGGTGGAGGATAAGCTTTGAGGTGCTTCTGACTAGGTGACAATGGATTTAATATACATCAAGGTGTTGCTTGGTACTCTCAAGTAAGAAACAACTCAGCTGTCTCTCCAGTGCCTTTTCAGAGGCAGGATAATTGCTTGGGATGAGACTGCTCTTCTTTCTCCCCCGGTGGATTCTAACTGTGTGCCTGCACTTTAGTCACTCAGCTTCTTAGCACTCAGTTACCAGAGCTTCCTGTATACAGTATGCTGTGGTTGATTGCTGTCGTGATGAGCACGACCCATAGTGACCCTATGAACAAAAGGCCTGAAGCCTTTCTAGAACTATATCATCCCTGAGGGCCCTTTCAGCCACAGCCATCACACTCACAGGCTCTTGTATCATAGAAGATGCCACTAAAACAGGATTGATAATCAAACCTAGATTTGCTCGCTATGTGAGCCCACGTTTCTTCAGACTTAAGATGAGGGTAGTCTACTTTTCAATGCTGAGTGAAATATCTCAGCCACAAAAGGACAAATACTGCGTAGTGCCACTGTTGTAAAACGGGACTGATATTGGGGTTGGAGGGAGACTGAGTAAGATGGGATAAATAATGTATACTGCATTAAGACAGAAAAGGAAGAGAACTGTCTAAGAGGGATATGTGATTAGGTATTTTTGTCATGACAGGAGACCAGAATGAAGGCTGAATAGTGGAGTGGCCCTGGAGGGAGGGATTGTATAACAATGAAAGAATTTTTCTTTTACTTTTCAAAGAGAAGAGTGAACTAGGGGGGAGGGTTGGGAGCAGAGAAAAGTGCAACAATGAATGAATGGAAATCCAAAGTCTCTGTAAATTTTCATTAAAATTAAAAATAATAATAATAATAAAGTAAAAAAGAAAAGAATACACTAGAATTGCTGTCTGGTGCCACTGAGTTGACTACAACCCACAGGGACCCTAAGAAAGATAGTCAGATGTGAACCTTTCCATATCCTGTACCATCCTCGCCGTTTCTGATATGCCCAAGCCCATGGTTACAGTCACTGTGTCAAACCATCTTGTTGAGGGTCTTCCTCTCTTTCTCTGACCCTCCCCACCTTTCCAAGTATAAGGCCTTTCTCCAAGGAGTGGCCCCTTCTAGCAACATGGCCAGAGTCTATGAGATGAATTTTCATCATTCTTGCTTCTAAGGAGCATCGCCTTGGTTCTTTTGCCAGTCCATGGGATTAGTTACGTAATAATATTGATTTATTAGGAAAATAGTAGTCCATGAAGAACAATACCCAACGTCAAAATCACTGTCATTGCATTGACTCCAAGTCATAGGGACTCCAGAGGAGAAGGATCCCATAGAGCTTCCAAGATGGCAGGTCTCTATGGAAACCGGCTGTTGCATCTTTCTCTCACCAGCGGCTGCTGGATTTGACTGCTGACCTGTCAATTAGCTGTCGTGTCAACACCATGTCACCAGGAAGCTGGTGGGAAAAATAGCCCTCACTATCATCAAGTCAATCCTGACTGACTCTAGGATACTCCCCACCGGGTTTCTAAGGCTGTAAATCTTACACAGGGGGCTCCAGTGTCCTAGTGAGTAAGAAGTTGTGCTGCCAACCCAAAGGCAGACAGTTCAAATTCATCAGCTACTCCGCAGGATGCAATTTACAGGCTCCTCCCATGCAAATTACAGCCTCTGAAAACCCACTGGGTCCACTACAGTCGATTCTGACTTGACTGCAATGCTCTGAGAGAAATATTACTTAAAGAGATTGCTCATTTTTCTCCCATGGAATGGCGAGGATTTTCACCGCCGACTTTTCAGTTAGCAGTCTGACACTTTACCCACTATGCCATTAGGGCTCCTTCCATCGGTACATAGATGGTCAAAATTTATTATACCCTCTTCACTACCACAAACTGTCTACCAGTGTGCACGGAAGCTGCACTACAATCCTGAAGGCATGTGGTTCAAATCCACTAGTTGCTCCGTAGGAGGATGGGCAGTCTCCTCCCCTGCAATTAAGTGCCTCTGAAAACTCACTGGAGGGTCCGCTATGGTTTGGTTCTGACCTGATGGCAAACAACAACAGCAACATTGTATTTAAGCTCTGAAAGAAAACACAGTGAGTGTTTGTAGATGTGCTAGGTGTCAGCTGTCTTCTCACGCTCTCCTCTCCGATGCCCCTGAGTGCTCCAGTGAATCGGCTGGTTCTGCCCGTTCACTGTGAAGCAGCCTGGAGGCATGGTGGCTGCCTGGACCTTGAGCCCGCTCTCAGCACCAAGGCCAGGCATGGAAGCTGCCGTCTCCTCTCCTACGTCAGATGATTACATAATTTATCAGCAACATCCAAACACCTTGGAGAGCAAAAACCTGAGATCGTATCTCTCCACTTTTCAGACTTTTGTAGTCCTCTAATCATCTAATAGGAGGAAAATGATAACAAAAAGTTTTATCCAAATTATTCATCAAGTCCTATTGTGTTTTTTTTTTCTTTTAAAAAACACACAAAAAGATTATTTAACTGATGCTTGGCAGTGTAAATTCATTTTAGATAAAATATGAAAATAAACACATGTGCTTTGTCATCAGAATAGAGGCTTTAGAATGAAGAACTGCAAATGTTTTTCCATCAAGGGACAGGTAGTAAATATTTTAGGCTTTGCTTGCGATATCATCTCTGTCAAGATCAGGTGAGGAATCTTGAGTCTGGAATGAGCAGCTGTAAACAAAGCTCCCATGCTGAATAGACCCCTTGACTCACCGGCTGCCACTGTCCAGGGTACCAGGCTGGAGGGCAGTTGAATCGGTTACAGGCTTGCACAGTGCTGGGCTTCGGCTCATGGCACAGCTCGTCAGCCAGCATCACCGTTTCATTCAACTCCCTGGAAAGCAGGTGGGAGCAGTGGACCGCTCTGGTCTGAAGGCCAACCCCACAGGTTAGACTACATGCACTCCATTTGCCAATTTCCCACCTGAGAAGAAATCAGAGAAAGAAAGTGTCAGTATCTTTGTAGACAATGTTTCCCCATGAAAGGAAGTGAGAGTTATGCATTGAGTAAAAACACCCCACCAGCAATGTACAAAGTTCTAGCACAAGATCTTCTGGAAACTTTATCCCAAACCTAGAACCCATCTTTTCCCTCTCATGTTCCACTTTTAGAATAAAGCAAAAGGTACACTGTGGTAAAAAGAATTGGTGGACTACGTAAACCTACGTAAAACATTGGACAAACCAGGCAGAACCTGCAGTGGGTACATAGTCATTGAGCCATCTCACATTGAATAAGGGTTCTAGAAGACAGACTCTTTCCTGCTAATCTCTCCTGTCCCCCTTTCTTAGCAAGACTGAAACATTGTGCACTCTTGGTTTTCAAAGTGAAAGGTCATTGGCTCCAACTCCCTTCAAACTTCCATCAGAGCATAGAAATATCTCTGTCTTATGTATAAATATCATCACTGCCTGGGACTGGATAGTGTAACAAAAGTGAAGGCTGCTAGATAGATTAGTTTTCCTGTGGGGGAACAGTGAAGAGAGCGTCTCATTACCGGGAAGTAGAAGTCAAGTGTACAGGGAAGAGCTGAGTGCATGAATCAGCCAGTTCTAAGTAGCCGGGCCTGCCTATGCTCCCAGAGAGCGAAGGGACCTGTGAAAACAACCCTGCTGCATCTCCCTGTCGATCTGGCCTCCGAAATGGGACTGATAAGAACAAACTCCATTGCTTGGCCTGTGAGGCAGAAGCATTCTCTAATGGTCAATTTTAGAAAGTTTTGTTTACAGTTAGAGACACAAAGGCTCTATGATTAAGAGTTAGCCAAGAAAAGCAGGGGAAGTAGATTCTTCAGTAGCTAGGCCGCCTATGTTTTGTAGCCAGCCCTGAAAATTGGTTTAGAAATTTCTCGACTTGATGTTTTTCATCGGAGTATGAAAACTCAATGTAACTTTTCTTAATTGTTTCCTGCTTCTCTGATGTGGACCTACCTCTCCAACCTCTCCTTCCACTACCTCCTGTCGTGCAGCCTGTGGTCAAGCCTTATCTGTAATAAGCCACTGCTGAGTCTCAGTCCATACCCCATGGTTTCCTAGCAATATCTTTACTCAAGCTATTACTCCTAATTTGAATTCTCTTTTCTCCTCAAAATCCCTTTCCTTTCTGTCTTGATTTGATCCCATAGCTGCTCCAGTTCTTATTGTAGTAGTCATTCCGCCTGACAGGAGAGAATACACTTATGCTCCTTGAATACACGTACACATCAATGTCTGAATTTTGAGTGAGTTTTGTGTCACTTACAGAATTCTTCACAATATCTTCTAGGTAGTAATGAGTATGACTAACAAATGCCTGATAAGTACACAAACAGAAGGGATCTAACACATAGTAGGACCTTTGTACAAATAAACTCATGAACTACCTCTGGAACAAGAGGCAGGCTTGTAAATGTTAAAGAGAGGTGGTTTCTGGCCTTTCTCTCCTGGAACCACTGGTGGATTTGAACCTCTGAAGATGTGAGGGCTTTTAGTTAGCAGTGTAACACACAACGGGCTCTGCAACCAGAGGATCCACCGGAGGATGAGTGCTCTTATCCCTTTAGGATTTCCAGCCCCAGGAATCCAAGGGCACATTGCTGTGAGCTGGAACTGACTCAGTGGTCGTAAGTGAATGCAGCTCCACAAGCGAGATGTGGTTCCCCTCCGAAGAAGCTCGAAGAGCAGCAGCAGAGGGAGACTCCGAGGCTGCCATTGTTGTCCTTCTTGATCTGGGTGCTCAATCTCGGTTCACTCTCTGAAAAAATCACCATCTCAACACTCGGGTTTTGGATACTCTTTGTTATGTTTGCTATCCTTAAAAAATCCTTTCTTACTTAAAAACAAAATAGTGTAGGTGTAAGCCACGTACAGTCGAACCAAATGCACAATGGTGACAGCCTCTCAAAGGAGCTGTCTGTGGAGGGAGTGCTGTCCCGGGGTTAAAGCTTGTCAAAGCAGAAAGGCTGCACTGCTCCTCCCCACACTCCCAGCAGAAATCCAGCCAGCACTGGGCCCATGAGGCAGGGGCCTGGTGCAGCCATGAGGCCACTTCAGCACTGCCTGAAGAACCTCACAGAGCAGACGTAACTCTCTACTTGAGATAACAGCACCCTGTAGTCTCAAGGGAGGAGGTCAGCAGAAGCTATCCGTGAGTTCAGCAATATCTGACTGAACAGAGGCCAAGGAAGGGAAAACACTCCTTCCTCTGCTTGTCTCCTGTGTCGAGACCGCAGGAACGGCCATGCTGGCCTTGCTTATTGCTGGCTGCAGTAGCCTCCTCCCTCCCCTTGGCTGTTTCTGGGATAAGGACTACAGGCCGGTGTGGCAGGCAGCCTGGGAGACATCTGTAGGCCTCTCTGGGGTGCTGGGTATCTGGCTTCCACAGAAGCTGGTGCCGCGGAGGACAGCAGCTCTGGTCTGGGCAGCGGAGGTGAAGGCACTGTTCTCTTGTTCTGCTATCTGCCAGTTGACTTTTCTTCATCTTTTTGTCTCCACATAAAAATTAATTCCCCAGGGAAGAGACTCTCAACTAAGTAAAAATTCCACTACCTGGTCCCATTAACACTTTCCTTTTGGAAAAGTTCAGTGCACTTGTAATCTGACTGGCCCACTTGACTATTACCTTAATGAGGGCACAGGGCCACGTCTGTGTCTGGCAGAGAGCAGGTCTGTATGTCACCGAGAACACACTGACTCAACCCATTCAGCTCTCCGGGGACCTTTGCATTGGTCACTCTGCTGGTCTGAAGCTCAGCTCTGTCCTCCAAATAACTATCTTCCCCCAATACCAAAGTCCCCAGAGCTCTGACTACTCCAGTTTTTCTCACCACTATGGTATAAACTTGGCAACTGTGCCTGAATTCACATGATAGGCTGTATCCCACCTAGTATAACTATCCTTACATTTTCTTGCAGTAAGATCAGCCTCTTAGGTTAATGGAGTATTTTCCAGAAAACACATCTGCCCCAGTTCTTTTGGCTGAAGGAGGGCAGCCCTGTGGCAGGAGGGTGGTAAACATAATTGCTATGGTTTCTTTCAGCTTCTAGGCTTCAGGTGCTAAGCTTCACGGTTGGGCCTTTGGCCAGTATGTGAGGCTCTGGTTTCCCAGCATGCCTTTCCCCCACTGGCTTCTTTCCATTCTTCTTCATGTTCACTCTTTTTGTCAGTTTGCCTACAGGAAACTCCCTTGAGACCTGAGAGATCACCTGATGCCCTGTCCTTTCAGCTTGGCTCTATCCAACTCCTGATCCAGGACAGGCAGGAAATAGGGGGCAACAGATGCCTCACATCCTCACTCGCGAGTTAGTCTTCCTGCCCTTTGTCTGTGATACCTTGAGTTGGTCTGTCTCTATGATTGGATTTCAGGAGTGGCGTCCTGATTTCACTTTGTTTCCTGAGGTTCTGGACCTCTGCTGGAAGTCCAGCTTACTGGACTTTGGTGCCACCATCCTGCCTGGATCTGGCCAACCTCTGACTGTGGAATGGGCAACGTACTCTGGGCCATGAGTCACAGCCAGGAAAGGACTGCAGTCCAGCTGACACTGCATATTACCACTGACAGTGATGCTAACACGACCGCATTTTTCAGTGAGCTGTTCTGTGCTAACGACTTTAAATGCATGAGCTCATTTACTCTCTCACTGCCCTGAGAGATAGGTACTATTATTATCGGCGGTTTCGAGAACAAGTTGCTGAGGTCCAGAGAAGTGAAGTGATTGATTAGTCATAGTCCGGAAATGCCAGCTGCTAGGCTTCACACAGATGCCAAAGCCACCTGCATCACATCCAGGTCTGCATGGCTTGGACCCAGGCACTGGAAGTGGGCCTCCTGCAACCAGAGAGCCAGGACTGTGGGGTTAAAAGCCTTTCCCAGCAGCAGGGTCCAGGGTGAGTGAACTTGAGATGTGGAAGGATGTGTTAACTCATTTACTACTGTTAAAATAGAATCAGGTCTCCACGCAGATGAATGGCATACTATTTGATCACTCTATGATTGAATGAGGAAACAAGTGAAATCGGGACATGGTCCTTACTGCAAGTGGAAGGCTCTTCTAGAGAGTGAAGAAATCAGAGACTTAATTTTTGCTTAAATAAACAAGTTTCCATGATGATGAAATAGTTGTGGTCACTGAGTTAATATTTTTTTTTTTAAACCCAAACTTCAGGGGAGATTCACCCCTCCACCCCTCTATAGTCTTGAGACCTTCAGAAGCTCAGTTCAAGATGTATGAGTCTTATTAACCAGATAAATAGTTTTGTTAAGTTCTGCTCTTTGGGGAAGTCATATTGGAGGAGAAAAAAAAATACTGGCAGATTGATTTTGGGTCAGCAATTTTTACATTTGTAGACCAGAAAAGCTCTTTTGAAATCCAAGTAAAATATCTATCTTCAATATATATTTAATGTCACAATATTTACATCAAACCTATAAAGCAGGTAGAGGTAAGGCTATTTGTGACTCAGAATGAATTAGACTTAAAATTGTCTTTTTAAAAAACAAAACAACGAACCACATCTTATTATCAGCAATATGTAATACACATAACGTTACAGCATATAATGTGCTGAGATGTGTAGTCAAGAGGTCCTTTGCAAAGACGTCATGCCGGGGAGAGTAGAGGTCAGCGATAAGAGGAGGAACCTTTGCAAGATGGACAGATACAAAAACTGCAACCATGAACTTCACATGGTGGAGACCCGGAGGATGGTGCAAATCTGTGATCTGCTGTCTGTTGACACATAGTCAACTCAGTGCCACCTAGCAACACGACCTTCAGATGTTCAAAGACGGGATTTATGAAGATACTGATAAAAGTCAGCACAAATGAAAACTGGGGGAGGCGAAAAGTAAACCAGCCTATGTCATAACTGACTCGCAGTGAGTTTGCCAGAATGGAACTCCACTGTAAGTTGAGAACTGTATGTACTACAATTTCCCCCAATTT